CCATCCAGTATTATACATATCCATCCATCCATCCATCCGTCCATCCATCCATCCGGTATTACACATATCCAACCATTCATCCATCCATCCATCCATCTATCCATCCAGTATTACACATATCCATCCATCCATCCGGTATTACACATATCCATCCATCCATCCATCCATCCATCCATCCATCCATCCATCCACCCAGTATTACACGAAACCATGTCGACCCTGGCCAAGGGCCAGTGTGGTGTCATGGGTACATGGGCTATCTAAATTGGAAACCCAACCCTGTTGCTCCCCTGTATGGAGTCAGTTCATGGCTCCCACTGTCCTCAAGGTCAAGCCCAGGATCCTTGGGTGGGCAATCAAGGTTCTGCCTCCACTCCAGCCATACAGAACATGTGTCTCCCCACAGGGGCCATGCTCTTCCAGGTCTCAGCTTCTTGCAGGTCACCTCCAGAAACCCTCCATGCTTAGAGAAGGAAAACCCAATAGAGTCAGCAGCTTAAAAAGACAGCTCAGAGTCCTTGCTGCCCAGAGGAGAAAAGAGGCTCCAGGGCACCCATGGGTCCACCATGCGCCTGGCGGAGGGAGGCGTGGTGGGCTCCTCCCCTACACTCCTGTACTTCAAGGAGACCTGGGCAGGGCACATGGATGCCTGCCCCAACCCCCCGGGCAATTCGGGACTGGTCCTGCTTATGGCCATCCCACAGTCAGCTCCTCTCAGCCCTCTCTGGGAACCGTGGGGCCGGCGGGGGGGTGTGGTCTGGCAGGGGGATCAGGCACCTGGCTTGTCCTGCTGGGCCATGCCCTAAGCTCTGCCTGGCATAGGCCTGTGGGGTCAGGACATGAACCTGCTTTGATTGAATGCCTGTATGCGCTGGGCACTGTACTCATTTTTAGGTTAATTCTTTTTTTTTTAGACGGAGCTCCACTCCTGTTGCCCAGGCTGGAGTGCAATGGCACGATCGCCACTCACTGCAACCTCTGCCTTCTGGGTTCAAGCGATTCTTGTGCCTCAGCCTCCCGAGTACCTGAGATTACAGCATGCGCCACCACGCCTGGCTAATTTTGTATCTTTAGTAGGGATGGAGTTTCTCCATGTTGGTTAGGCTGCCCTTGACCTCCCAACCTCAAGTGATCCACCCGCCATGGCCTCCCCAAGTGCTGGGATTACAGGCGTGAGCAACTGCCAGGTGAATCCGTTTTGAGTTAGTGCATTCCCCTGTCAGAAGAACCCCATGGGGTGTGGGCTCATGATTACTATGCCTGGGCTGGGGACACTGACAGCTCTACCTGCGGTCACACAGGTAAGAAGTAGCTGAGCTCCATGGGGCCCAAAGGTGACCATCTGGGCCCCAGGGTGTCCTGATACTTGCCATGTCTCCATCCTGACTGGGAACCAGAGAGGCTTCTGCTCCCAACAGAAGCACAGGCTCCACCTCCGCCCACTCAGTCACCCACTACCCACAACAGGCGTGGGACCCTTGGGCCCAGATCCTGGCTGCCCTCACGTTCAAGATAATCAGGGCCATGATCCCATGTGGGGGGAGGAGGGCCTGCCTGTGATCACGCAGACCTCAGAGGCCTGGGACCAGCCCCGGGGAGCCCTGGCTGTGTGGAAGGTCAGGAACAGCCACCCTGTTGCCCTGGGCAATTCCTGCCGCCCGTGTGTGGTGTGGTGTGCGCGCATAGTGTATGAATGTAGCATGTGTGTGTGGTGTTGTGTGTGTGTTCGTGTTTTATATGTGTGGTGTGTCTGTAAGGTGTGTGTGTTGTGTGTGGTGTGTTATGTGTGTTTTGTTTGTGTTGTGTGTGGTGTGTGATGTGTTATGTGTATTGTGAGTTGTGTTTTGTGTGTTTGTGGTGTGTGTTGTGTTTGCTGTGTGTGTGTGGGTAGTATGTGATGTGTATGTGGTATGTGTGTTTGTACGTGGTGTGGGTTTTGTGTATTGTGTTGTATGTGTTTTTTGTGTTGTGTGTGTTGTGTGGTGTCTGTGTGTTTTGTGTTTTATGTGTTGTGTGTTGTTTGTGTTGTGTTTGTGTGTGGTGTGTGTTGGTGTGTGGTGTGTATTGGGCATGTATTGTGTTGTGTGTTGTGTGTGTGTGTAGTGTGTGTGTTGTGTGTGGTGTGTTTTGTGTGGTGTGCTGTGTGTTGGTGTGTGGTGTGTGTTGGGCATGTATTGTGTTGTGTGTGGTGTGTTTCGTGTGGTGTGGTGTGTGTGTGCCATGCACGCGTGGGCTGTGAGCTCCTCCCACCACACATTTCCCCAACCCTGGAGCCATTCAAGAACCCTCTAAGACAAGGACGGAGAAACTGACCCTGGGGTGGGAGCGCCCCCGTGGGTCCGCAGCAGCCCGGATCCCGCTCAGCCCTGCCCTTCTCCGCGCGCCGCCTCTCCCCGCGGCCGGCAGGGGGCAGCACCACGCCGCGATCCCTCTGCGCTCCGAGGGATCTCCGCCTCCCGCCTCCCGCTCTCCCGGGGAAACCGAGGCACTGAGATGCAGCTGGGGCGGCGAACGAACCCGGGCGTCCGGCCCGCCGACCGTCACCCCTCCTCTCCCAGATGAACCCCGCCCGGCGGGCCCCAGAACTGATCCCACCCCGGGCGGGAAGCAGATAGGGTGAGGGTCGGCGCGGCCGGGTGAGGGGTCGAGCGCCCAGACCCGCAGCGGGGAGGCCTCCGGTGCCAACCTCGTGGTTGCAGCTCCGCCACAGCCCGACAGCTCCCGGCGGTCCGCGCTATTAACGGGCGCCGAGACCGAGGCTGGCGGCAGTGGGGACAGGGGTCCCGGACTCCGGGCGCGGGTGGGGTCCCTGCCCGCCTCGCGGCCCCGGGGCCCGGCACGACCCCGCTGTCGCCACCTCCCGCCCGCGTCCGAGCGCCCTCAGTGCCGCCGCCGGGTGGCAGCATCCGCCCGCGCCCGAGCTGCGCCCGCGCGTGCCACTGACTGCGACGACTCAGCCAGACCCTCCTGCTCCCCGCGCCCAGCTTCCAGGCCGTGAAATGGGGCTGGCTGCCCTAGAGTGGGGCTCTGGGGCGCCGGGGCCACCCAGGGGCGGAGTTATTATTGCCATTCCACTTCTTCCTGTGCTTCGGTTCCCCGTCTGTGCTGATCTCCAACGCCCCTTTTATCTGGGAACCCTCCCCATCCGCACACAGGGCTCGGCTGCACCGGAGGCCTCAGATCGAGGGGCCCAGGAATGGCCTGCGCCGGGGTTGTTGAGAAGGTTCAGGGATTTGGAAGGGATTAAGAAGGGATCAGGGGCAGGGGGTCGGGCGGGACTTCGGGTGGAGGGGAGGCAGGCTCTGAACTCGAGGTCTCTCCCCAGGCCTGGACAGGTGGGAGAGGGCGGCCGCATGCAACCCTGACACACACAGACTGCCGTCTTGATGGCTGCGGTCCCTGCTGGTCCTCGAGGACTGAGATCTTCCCTGTCCCGTCCTCCTGCAGCACCGGAGCCATCCAGGGCTGAGAAAGCTCAGGGCAGTTGGGGAGCCTTGCCTGGACAGGGATCTGACCGATCTGACCGTGGGTACCGGTCCATGCCCTTGGGGACAGGCAAGGCTTGGCGCGGCAGGGTCTGCCGGACCCTGGTGCTCACTCGCCCAGGGCTGAATCAGGCTAGATGTGCTTTGGGCGTGTGAGGCGCCGAGTCAATCTGACTTCAAGCTCTCCTCAGGGAACCTGAACATGGCTGGGCGCTGCAGAGGAGGCCACAAAAACCGGGGTGCGGGGCAGGGAGCCTCCCCCAGTGTCCAGGAAGCCCCTCGATCTCCTTCCACAGGCCTCCATCACAGTGCTTGGCCACCGGGTTCTGCAGGAGGCCACACAAGCCATCTCCCTGCATGTGGCCAGGCTAGTCTGTCTGTCATCTTTTAGGTCCTAAAGCTGGGCTAGCGCAGATGGCAGCAGTGCTGGGACCTGGGGTTGTGGGAATCTCCCATCGAGTTTTACTGGAGTGGCAGCGACGCCTGGAATAAGAGTATGACCCAGAGTATCTCATGCGGATAATTTTTGCGGGGTGGGGAAGTGCACTCGGAGAGGCAATGGGAGTGGGTAGTCTCTCCCTCCCCCACCAGAAACTGGAAGCCAAGTGGCCACTGCGACCCTTACAGGTCTTTTCCCACCCCCACCTGTACCCCCACCCCTACCCCCGCGTGCGCAGAGGAACGCAGGTGTCTCTCTTGAGCCGCACCCTCCCCGCACCCCCACCCCCCCCAAGCCCTCTTCCCCCCCACCAGTCCCCAGAGGGCAATCGGAAGGGAGCTGGCCTCGGGAGGGGAGGCCCCCCCCCCCGAGGGGTAGATGCGTTTGTGTGTCACGGGGGAGGGAGGAGAAAAGGGAGGGGAGAGCCAGGGAGAGAGGGAGAGAGCGCGGGGCGAGCTAGGAGGGCGGGCGGGAGGCGGATCCTCCTACCTGGGGCGCGCTCGCTCGCTCGCGGCTCGCTTGCCGGGGCCGCGAGTCACCTGGGGAGGCCGACAAGTGCGGACACATTGGCCGCCGCGGTGCTCGGCGAGGCGCGCACGGCCTCAGGCGGCTGCGCCCAGTGGAGGCTGCACCCGCCCGCCAGCCGCGCCCCGGCCCCTGGCCCGCGCTTGCAGGGGCCCACGGTCGCTCAACAGGGCTTCGAGGTTGCGGCACCCAGCCTGGGTCACTTCCCCGGGCGCACGCGGCGGCGGCGGCGGCGGCATCCCGCGCTCACCATGGTGGCAGCGCGCGCCGAGTGCCCGCGGGTCGCCCGCCGCCCGAGCCGCAGCGCTGGTTGAGCGCGATCTGCCCGCAGCCCCCTGGCCCCTGACCGGCCCTGCCGGGCCCGCGCGTCCCCTCCGGCCGCCGCTGTCTATGGCGCAGCCCCCCTCCCTGGATCATGCACAGAAACTTTCGCAAGTGGATTTTCTACGTGTTTCTCTGCTTTGGCGTCCTCTACGTGAAGCTCGGGTGAGTATCCCGTGGGCGGGGACGGCAGCCAGGGGCCAAGACAGCACGAAGGAGCTGCCTCCAGGTCGTCCCCGCGGGGACGTGGGGACCGGAGGGGGCCACGGCAGATCTCGGGGCTCCGGGGCTGGCCCGTGTGTCAGACCCTCGCCCCAAGCCAGCAGAGACACAGCCGAACCCACTGAGTTCCCGAGGGGAGCCGAGCCCAGGGTGGGAGGAGAGAGAGCGGGGCGCGCGGGCGGCCCCGCCGGGCTCGGGTAGCGGCGAGCGTGCTCGGCGCGTACTTTCACCTGTTTGGGCTCCAGGCCCCGGGGGTGGGACGCGCCTTCCCTCCCCCGGGCTGCGCTGGGCGCCGAGCCCGGGCCGAGCGCTAGCCGCCTGGAGGGTGCGCCGGGGCGGGGTCGGGGGGCGTCCAGCGCCTGGGGGGGCCGGGGGAGGGCGGGGGGCGCGCACCCGGTCGCGAGCGCGGAGGCCAGGGCACCCGCTGCGGCCCTTCGTCTCTATCCATCACCCAGACGTGTTGAAATTACCTTGACAACTCGTCCGGCTGGCTCGGGATGGGCCGCAGGGCCGGCCGGGCCGCCTCGGGTTCGGTCCGGGGCCCGCGCCCCGCCCGCCCGGGGCCCTGGGCCCTGGGCCCGGCCCCCTCTCGCCGCGCTCCCCCTGGCGCGGCCCGGCGGGCGGGCGCCCGGCGAGCCGCGCTAGCTGCTCTCTGCGGTAGCTGCTCCGAGTCGTATTTCCACATTCCTGAACCCAGCCGAGTCCTTACCTGTTGAGCCGAGATCTCCTTTAGACAGAATCTGTCTCAGTCTTGCTCGAAGTGGGGGTGGAGAAGCGGCGTGAGAGAGAGGGGGTGCGGTGCACCTCGCCGGGGGCGCCCACGGCCCGCGGCCGGCGCTGCGCTCCTCGAACCTGCGGAGACCCGCGCCCGGCCGCGCCCTGTGCGCCTACTGTGCGCCGCCTGCTGCAGGCGACGGGGAAGGCGGTGAACAGAGCCGTGGGAGGGGCTGGTTCGGATGCAGCTTCCCCGGTGGAGAGGTGGAAGCAGGTGCTTGGGATCTTCTCTCCATCACCCTCCATCCCTTCTCTACTCCTCCATCTTACAGGTGGAGAAACTGAGGCCCAGGGTCTGCAGAAACTAAAACCGGTGGCTTCAGAGGCAGGACTGGAAGCCCCCGTCCTAGCCTCAGGCCTGCAGGTCTGGGCGGGTGTGTCTGCCGGTGTCCCTGTTTATCATAGGTCTGTGGGTAGGCTGTGTCCCCAGGTGTTTATTTATGGAGGTGAGGGGTGCGGGAACTCGAGCCTGCTGGGCTGGGGGCAGAGTGGGCAGGCTGCTGTTTTCCTGCCTCTCCAGCAGTCCTGCAGTGACTCCTGATGGGCCCCCCAAAGTGATGGCAACACTTAATGAGGCTCTGTCCCTGCAGCCTGATTCTCAGAGCTGAGGACTTCCCCCACTCCAGCACCCTAGAATTAGGCACTTTTATGCTACCGGTTTCAAGGATGAGGAAACTCGGCACAAGAGCTAAGTCACTGTCTTCAAGATTCAGTGACAGAGCTGGGCTTCAGTTGGCTGTGGTCCCCCCCCCCCCCCCCGCCCCCCCCCCCCCCCCTCCCCCCCCCCCCCCTCCTCCCCCGCCCCGCCCCCCCCCGCTGTGAGCCTCTCTTCCTAGCGCCCATTCTTCTGCATCAGTCATCAGAAAGCAGCGCCTGCTCCTCCTCCTCCCCCAGTGAGTGGGTGGGAAGAGCTCTGGGAACCCCGAAGGTAGCAGAAGGAGCTGACTTGTCCAGCCCAGCTCCTGGGGCTGCATGCCCTTCCCAAGCTTCCTGGTCCCTTCTGTAAATGAGATTGCAGCTCTGGCCATCCTGAACAGGATGGTGGCCAGTGTCTGAGAGACATCTGCGTGAGCAAGACCCCACTGGATCTCCCTGTTAGCGCAGTCTGAGTCCCAGGCCCCTGTATCACCCTCCCGCTGGGAGCGGGTAAGAGTGAGGCAGTGGCTGAGTTTCCTTCTGTGTGGCCCTGGCTCTGCCCTCAGGCCCCATCCAGGACCCCGGGAGGGGAGACTTCTTCCCTGGTATGCCAATTTAAACACACACTCCTTACCTCCTGGATTTCCAAAATTCAGTCTGGCAACACCTGGTGGAATGACGACCACGAAAGCCGAAGGTCTCCCCGCGGGTCTGCTGAGGGAGGGAGAGCCAACCCCTCCCTCCAGGTTCACCCGCTTCTGCCAGGACTGGGGAGAAGGGTCCTGCTTTCTTCGCAAACCATCTCGGCTACACACAGTGGTAGAAGGGGGAAGCTGGACCCAGGTGTGTCTGAAGAGGCTAAATGACCTGGAAGCCCACTGCATTAAGGAGGAGGCTTTCGAGTCTGGGATCATGGGCCATCTGCTCTGTCCTCCTGTCACGCCTAGCCTGTGGCATTGAGTGAGATTTTTAAGCTTTTCTCATCCAAAAAATGGGGTCACAACATCCCAATCACTGCATGCTGGCCATGTTAGTGCTGGGGTCTTTGCCCTGGGGGCGGTGGAGATGTGTGCCAATGAGCACCTGGAGACACCAGGAGAGCCTTTCTGATTGTTAATGACTATGACGTCACTGACACCCCGTGACTTCTCCAGATAGTGTGTTCCGGGGCCCCCACATCCCAGGATTTGGGATTTTAAGAGTCATAAAGATCTAACCACAGATCAGAGGTTATATGTATTGGTGGGAGATTCCGTGGTCATTCCCCTTCATGCTGCATGTGTTTAGTGTATGCAGGGGAGCCACCTGGACACATGAGCCCCTAAACCTGGTGCAACTCACATTTGCAACCCCTGGAGGACTCCAGCACCATCAGGAATCAAAATCTGATGGCTTCAGGGAGTCACAGTTCCTCACCCAGGGCCCTTTCTGGACTGAGCGGCCTTCAGCTCCAACCCTGGAGAAGGCCAAAGCAGAACTCGGAGGAGCCTGTCTGGAGTTTGGACACCCTCTGCTCACTGGAGCTGGAGTCACTGAAGCTCCAGGACCAGCCCTGCTGCAAGCCTGTCCCTGCCTTTGGGGCCAAAAGCTGAAGGGCTCAAGAGCCCTGGACTGGGAGGGATGGAGGTGGAGGGAAGGAGGTGGGGGGACCGGGGTGTGGGGACAGCGGTGGGGGGACGCCGGTGGGGGGACGGGGTTGGGGGGGGAGGTGGAGGGATGGAGGGGGCTGCTTCCTCCTGGGTGACGAGCCTCCACACCAGGTCTGGAGTTAGAAAAATCCTCTCCCTCAGGGCGACGGGCCAGACCGTCCAGCAAGCCCTCCCTTTCCTTGCCATCTTCCTGCATTGCGCCATGGTTCAGATTTGGAGGGATGGTCCTGTGGAGCCAGGACTGGCTAACAACAGGAGGTGGGACAATAGACCTATGCCTCTGGGCTAAAAAATAAAAATAAAACTAACTGGAAGAGAGAGAACATCCTTGTAGGTCTACTCCTCCCCAAACCCATCCCCACCAAGCCCTCAAAGGAGAGCAGAAGCAGCGGGATGGGAAAGCTGGAGTGGGGAAGCCTCTGTGTGCGAGAGCAGCACCTGCCGGAGATGCCTTCCCACTGGCGGCCTCTCCAAAGAGGCGCCCGGGCAGCGTCGCACAGAGTCAGCACCAGCGCAGGGCTGGGCCTGGTTAGCCACGGCAGTGCCCAAGTGCGACCCACAGCCAGCCTCACTAAACCCAGGGCGCACGGAGGCAGAGGCTCAGCACACTCGGTGCGCCTGTGGACACACGCCTGCCCTCACAGATCGCCCAGCTCCCGCAGGCACACACAGGCACGTGCATGCACACACGCACGTGCATGCACACACGCGCAAACGTTGCGGAGAACGGCCCCCAAGAGGAGCACAGCTCCCGCGCAGCTCCCCTGCGGAGCTGTCCCCAGGTGCACCTTCCCGAGCGAGGCCAGAGCTGTGTGGCTCCCTAAAGGTGGGGGTGCGCGTGTCCAGGCCAAGGCAACTTGGGCAAGCCCCGGAGGCGGCTCCCACCGCACGCTCTGGTCAGCCTCCCTTTAAAAAAACCCGCCGGGGGGAGGAGGCGGATGTAGGGGCGGCCCATCCAATGGCAGCTGCGCGCCTCAGGAGACTTGGAGACGTGAGCCAGAGCGAGCGACAGAGTCGGTTCGCACCGACAGACTGACGGAGGTCCAGACCACCGCCAAGGCGCGCCCGCTGCCTCAGGCAGGGTCCCCGCCCCGCACTCCAGCCCCGGCTCACGCCGCTGCCCCAGACCTAGCGCCATGCGCGGCCCTGGCGGCGGGGCACGGGCGACAACTGCGCCCGGGCCCGAGAGACCCGGCCCCTAGCGCCTAGCGCTGCCGCCCTGCATCGGGGAGCTCCGCGGGAGCCCCGGCCTCAGCTGGCCCAGGCGCCCTGCCCGCGGAGCCTGCCTAGCCCCGCCAGGCGCATCGGCCCACCATGCTCCTACTGTCGCCGAGCAGCGCGCTCGTCTCCGTCTATTGCCCGCAGATCTTTCTCCTCCTGTCCAGCGGCAGCTACCTGTGAGTGCCGCGGGCGACGGGCGGGGTGGGCGGGTGGACTGCCCCCGGGCCTCCAGCGCTACAACAGGGCGGGCAGGGAACAGGGCGGCAGCGAGGCCCTTGGGCGGGGCACCGGGTCACCATCGCGCGCGGGAGCCGGAGGACTTTAGGTCGCCTCGCCAGCCTAAGCCGCCGAGGTGGAGCACTTGGCGGGCAGCTACGGCAGTGAGAAGTCCTGGCTTTGGGGTCAGAGAATGGATGGTCCGAGAGCGGCTCGCCTGCTGGAGTAGAGCAGGCTATGCACGCCCAGCGCTAGGGCCCGGGGGCACGCGGGTGGCACCGAGATTCCCTGCGCATCCCAGTGGAGTCCCGGACTCCCGGGGGACCCCTCCCCATATTAACCCACGCGGCACGCAAGAACATGGCACACTTGGGAGAGCCACGCGACACACTCGCTCCCTCGTCAAACACTGGCACGCACGTGCACAATGCGCTCCACCGGACAGCG